GGGTCTCGCTCTTGCTCAGGCTAGTTTCGAACTCCTGAGCTCAAACAATCCGCCCGCCTCGGCCTCCCAGAGAGCTAGGATTACAGGTGTGAGCCACCACGCCTGGCCTAATATCTTGAATTTTGCAGAGTTGGAGAACCCTCAGTAAGGGTTGAGTTGAATCCTCCAGAGGGCATAGTTTGGAAGGAAGCAAGATTATAGCCAGCAGAGAAAAGAGAGGCTCAGGATTTTTTTCATGACTTTACCATGTCTGATATAGAAGATAATCAGAGAAAGTGGTTTACATGGGATTTTTTTCCTTGTCATCCCAGAGGCCAGGGTCATTTAGCCCTCCCCTGATTACGCCATGCTCTACAGAATTCAAAGGCTGAATAGAATGATGAGAAAAATTACTTTAACAGATGGCAGAAACAAATTCAAGTTCATCTCTGTAAGACAGCATCAACAGTACAATAGTCCCAGGCATTGTTCCTCAGCACTCAAAAGTTTTAATCCTCCAAAGAATTGTCTGAGATAGGTATTATTATTTTCCTTACTGAACAAATGAGAAATTAGACACGAAGAGATTAAATAACTTGCCCAAAATTATTCAGCAAGTGTTGTTCTGCTATTAAACCCAGGCTGTCTAGTTAAGAGTCCATATTTTTTACCACTAGATTCCCACCCCTTCATATATTAAATCATAAAAATATTAATAGCAGAAGATTTTTTGAAAACAAAAGGCAGGAAATTATAACAAATAACAAATATATGTTATTTGTTCATTTGTTACTCACTAAGTTTAACTGATCCTTCCATCCCCAAAAGCACATTGTCACTTTTGATGTCTCTGTGGATTACTTGATTAGCATGTAAAAACTCCAATGCCTGTAAACACTGAAGAGAAGAAAAACACCTATTAATTAAACAGTCCCTGAAAAGTCTAAGGGAGGTTCATATACAGTAGTTATGGCTTGAACACTACCTCCAGTATCCAGCAGAAGAACCTCTAATACTTAAAAAGAAAAAAATCTTCTCATATGCAAAGTTATGAAAATAAGATGCCTTAATTAACTAGATGCACACCCACTTATTTTATACATGTGCAATTTTGTTACACCCAGAGACATTATTAAGTAATGTCTTATTTAGTCCTTTCTCTGCCACTGAATAATAGTTAAAACCCTGAGAATACAACTCAGTCTTCAATAGTCTCACTTATAAAATGATGGATGGGTCTATATAATTTCTAGGCCTTTTCAGGTTTAAAGGCCTAAGATGTACAGCACTTGGTAAACATACACAAGCTCTTCAGAAATCATTTCAACAGTAATGAATAAACTTGTGATCATTACTACTTGAATCTGAGATACTCAGAAGTCTAATTAACGTAAGCCACTGAGAAATGGGTAAGATTCTGAGTGGCCTGGTTCCATTCAGCTGTTCATCAATGTGATGTAAAATGTCTTCTTCATTTCATCTATGATGGATTTTACATTAAGCTCTATTAACCACAACCTGGCACAAACAGTGAAAGAATAATTTTCCTCTTAGGCCACATTTCAGAAAGCAATGAGTCAAAAAGTGAGGATAAACTCTTCCCTTTTTTAAATACAAGAATGAGATGACATTTCAAAAACCTGCTGGCCC